TACTTAACCCGGGATACTATATTTCTGCAAGTTATCCCTCCAAACATGGGCGGACACAGCTCCATGCAATAGATGAAGTACAATCTCCAGGTGGAGTCAGGGAGGTTGACTCGTTACACACTATGTTAAAACATGAACACTGATATTCACAAAATTGACTAAGTTAAACTGAATTACTAGGCGGCGGGGAAAACACACAACCATACCTGGAGATACGTTGAGGAAGAGTCACAAATGCGTGATTCTCCCTCGCGTAGAGGTATATACGTGCACCTGCTGGGCAGCTTGGGCCTCCATATTCATGCCAGAAAGGTCAATCTTACCAACAACATACCTTCTCTACCATTTTGGATCACCGTATACTGAATTATGAACTCCGGTATTCCTGATCAGGGTAATTTACTAGGTGGAATATACACGTTGATAACATCAATTCTGCAAGCTCAGGCCTGAGGCGAACAAGGAGCTATTCACAGGGAGACGTTAGATCTGGGAGATTATACCAGTTGACAGAATAATTCAGGAAATTAATGACTTTCTTAAATAGACAACTGACTCTAACTAAACTACAAACATCAGATTCTCTGATGTCGGGGAAACAAAATAACATAACTCCAGTAGCGATCAGAAACTCATGGGTATTCTTAGGGAACAAAACCGATGGGTATCGTTTATCCTGGCAGACTCAACACTCACTTACTTGACAGTTGAAGCGTTCAACACCACTCACAATTGATCTTGAATGTTTCAACTGTAAACAGACATATCTAAGCTGACTCAAAACCAGGGTGTTCTCTCTCACATTCAAATTCATTATATAGAGAGGTTGGTTTCAGTAAGTCAGAGAAAATGGGATAACAGAGGACTGAGGCGTCTTGAAGTGACGAGAAAACGGACTCCTCAGATGGAGGACTCAAAAATAAAGCAGAGGTACATGTTTTGTGGGCTAGTGAGCGTAATATGAATCATTTGATTTTGGCGTTAACTGACGTGTACGACCGTGGTCGTTACAAAGCTTTCCCCTCCCCAAGATTCAATATTATGCGGTATAGTTGACAAAACATTCACAGTAAATACATAATTTTCAAAACACAATATCTTGCAATACTGGGGTAATGGTCATCAATACAGGCAACACACATGGTTACATAATTTTCACATACATACAATTTTGCAACTCAGTTGACTAATCACACAAACTCCCAGCCAGGGCAGATAAAATGAACACAGCACCACTTGTTATGGCACACAGAATAACATAATCATACATCAATATTACAGAACATAATAATAAAAATAACAGGCCGGCCTTAATTACAGTTTTCGTACACTTTTAACTGCACCATCCACCAGGACGGCAGGTAGTTTCCATCTTGGCGATTGATCAGATATGTATGACACTTTTAATTACAACATCCACTCGGATGACACTGGACCCAAGCTTCAAAATTCAACAATTTAGATCTCAAGCTAGGAGTAGATAGACTGACCCCATCCAGCCACTGAAGTATTCGGGTTGACCTTATCACAAAAGAATCATTCTCCACTCGTGGGACGAGGCAAGATCTGAATGGCCAGAGTATGGACTCAAATAGACTTTAATGCCAGCGACCCGGTCCCCATGAAACCCCCAAAACCTCAGTGCCCTTCTGTTACTTTGCAATGCAAGCTTCTTAAACTGCACTAGGCCCATGTACTCTTGTACACGCCTAGCCGTGACTAAAGTCCAGCCCAACTACCTCCTACATTAACCCAGGCCTACTGCAGATAGGACCTCCAAGCAACTTGATCACTCACACCAAACGATGTTCTCACTGCAGTAAGACACATCTACTCATTCCTCTTGTCCATGGTACATACTGACAATCCCTCCCCCAACAGGGTCACTCTGGCCACTTGACTGGCGAAGCAAACAGTTGATGTTTACGATCAACGACTCTCAAGTACTAAGTAAGGGCCATTTACGGCAATTGAGAGACGTGACCGACCAACTGGAAAATCTCTAAACAGTTTTCTCTACTGAACCTTAGCGTTCCCAAATAGATAACAACATCCATGAAAACAGCAGGATTCTCGGAACTCACATGAGTTAACACATAAATGCCTCGGATACCTTTTAAATGGATACTCACCAAAAAAAAAATTTAAAGCCAGTAATAGTATGGGTGACTCACTCAGCAGATTAAGTATCTCTAAAGACAACACTACAAGGTTTCAATTCACACAGTACTCATAGCAGTGCTCAAAATAAAATACTTGATGGTACTTGACGAGAATGTCTCAAGAAAATATAACTGTAGATTTCACGAATGATAAACACAAAGCGGATTTTCTGTACTCACAAGAATTCACTGTCTTTTTCAATTATCTTGACACTGTGTTAACACTACACAATTTACTCTGTGCTTTACTCACAATTGGTGGTCCTTACATGTACAGAGGGTGCTTCCAGCAATCCATTTTCAGAGATTGTATGTCTTAGATGTCCATTTCACCACAGAGTCCTCAACCCAATCAATACTATGGCTGAAAATACACCGGAATTAGTTCTCAAATACATATAACCTCTTTACCAACAATGCATATCAGTCTACACTGTAAGAAATGGTAAGGCGCTATGTAATAAAATTCTCCGTTAAATAAAAACAGGTTGAAAAATACAACAATGAAAAATTTAACACCAAACTTGTGTTATCTCAATAAATTCAATGGTAACAAATTGACTCCAACTGAGAACTAGTCATTTGCTCAGCACACATGAAAGTAACATAGAACACACTAAAAAAAACATGACAACATAGAAGGAACTGGAGGTCAACATTGCAAGTGGAAGGACGATAGACAGACGGGAAATGGAAATGTTAATGGCTGAGTGGAACGGGTGGCGCCAAGTCCTCACTAGACTAATGGCGATTATTCAGTCTCTAGCTGAAAGCAATTTGGCTCTAGAGGGTCAGCCGAAAAACTTAACTGTCAATCCAATGGTAATTTTCTCCAAGAAGTGGAACTTTAAGTAGGGTTGAAAGTAATGCAGGCAATCACAGTCACACTACCTTGGGGTTCCTTGAGGTAGAGAAGTCTACAGGGCTAAATTTGTCATGAATTCTACTCGGAAGACAAACAAATGAACATTTCTTTTGAGGATTGTCGAGGTCAATCCTACGACAATGAAGCAAATATGAGAGGAAACATCAAAGGAGTTCAAGCTAGGCTTCTTCAACAGAATTCTCGGCCCTTATTTGTCCCTTGTGGTGCCCATAATTTGAATTTTATATTAGGTGACGCTGCCAAGAGCTCCCTAAATGCAACTTGTTACTTTGGATATTTAACGAAAGTATTCACATTGTTTTCAGCCGCTCCTCAGAGGTGGCAAGTTCTTTTAAAACATGTTAATATTACTCTGAAATCGTGGTCAGACGTCAGATGGGAAAGCCGAGTAAAAAGTGTGGAGGCAATTAGATATCAACCTCCGCAACTCAAAGAAGCGCTTTTGGAGCACAGAGAATCTGCAACTGACCCTGTCGTCAAAGTTGAGGCTTAATCGTTGGCAGAGGAAGTAGGGTCATACCGTTTTGTCATTTGTTCAGTTGTGTGGTATGATATACTCAGCAAAATTCAGCACGTGAGCAAACTAATGCAGTCGACTACGATACAGCTCGGCGTGGCTGTAGATCTGCTGAAACAGAAGAGACTAAGAACTAAAAAATGTCACTTTAGCTATGAGTGTGCAGACGAACCTGTCAGCGATGTACTCAAGAGGATGGAGACTACATTTTTCAATGTGGTAGTGGATACTGTGATTTCCTCTCTTAATGAGAGGTTCAAGACCTTGGGCGAGGTGAATGAAAAGTTCAAGGTATTGTTGGGGTTCACGGACATGTCTGACAAAGATATTGTCGGAACTCACACATAAGTTGTAACTTATTCACAACTACTGTGACTATCAAAGCACGACATGTCACAACAAATTCCTCACAAAAACAACCCCAATTGCCAAAGATGAATTAATTAACACCCTTCCAGAGCAAAGGGGTAACATTATTGCCAAATGCCTGATACTTTCAATGGATACTCACCAAAAATAATCACAGTAGTATCGGTGACTACTCAGAAAATTAAGTATCTCTAAAGGAGGACACAAACTTAATTGGCTAAAAGTACTCATAGCAATGCTCAAAATAAAATACGACTACTTGACGAATGTCTCAAGAAAAATATAACTCTCTCCAGAAGCCACGATAGATTAACACAAAGTGGATTTTGTATCACAAGAATTCACTGTCTTTTTCTAATTATCTTGACATCAGTTAACACTACACACCCCACTCTGTGCTTACCACAATTGGTGGTCCCAGATGTACAGAGTGGTGCTTCCAGCAATTTCATTTTCAGAGATTGTATGTCTTATGTGTCCATTTCACCACAGAGTCCTCAACCCACTCAATACTATGGCTGAAAATACACCGGAATTAGTTCTCAAATACATATAACCTCTTTACCAACAATGCATATCAGTCTACACTGTAAGAAATGGTAAGGCGCTATGTAATAAAATTCGCTAAAATAAAAACAGGCTGAAAATACAATAATGAAAAATTTAATACCAAACTTCAGGCATTCCAATAAATTTATGGTAAATACAAATTGACTTAACTGAGAACTAGCCATTTGCCCAGCAAGTCAGTTGGCGAAAGTAATATAGGAACATACTAAAAAAAAACATGACAAATATAGAAGGAACTGGAGGTCAATATTGCAAGTGGAAGGACGATATAGACAGATCGGAAATGGAAATGTTAATGGCTGAGGGAGAACGGGTGGCGCCAAGTCCCTCACTAGACTAATGGCTATTATTCGGTCTCTAGCTGAAAGCACGGCCTCTAGAGGGTCAAATAAAAACTTAACTGTCAATCCAATGGTAATTTTCCAAACTTTAAGTAGGGTTGAAAGTAATGTGCAGGGCACCTCACAACACACACTACCTTAGCCTTGAGAGAGAAGTCTACAGGGCTAAATTTGTCATGAATTCTACTCGGAAGACAAACAAATGAACATTTCTTTTGAGGATTATCGAGGTCAATCCTACGACAATGAAGCAAATATGAGAGGAAACATCAAAGGAGTTCAAGCCAGGCTTCTTCAACAGAATTCTCGGCCCTTATTTGTCCCTTGTGGTGCCCATAATTTGAATTTTATATTAGGTGACGCTGCCAAGAGCTCCCTAAATGCAACTTGTTACTTTGGATATTTAACGAAAGTATTCACATTGTTTTCAGCCTCTCCTCAGAGGTGGCAAGTTCTTTTAAAACATGTTAATATTACTCTGAAATCGTGGTCAGACGTCAGATGGGAAAGCCGAGTAAAAAGTGTGGAGGCAATTAGATATCAACCTCCGCAACTCAAAGAAGCGCTTTTGGAGCACAGAGAATCTGCAACTGACCCTGTCGTCAAAGTTGAGGCTTAATCGTTGGCAGAGGAAGTAGGGTCATACCGTTTTGTCATTTGTTCAGTTGTGTGGTATGATATACTCAGAAAAATTCAGCACGTGAGCAAACTAATGCAGTCGACTACGATACAGCTCGGCGTGGCTGTAGATCTGCTCAAAAAGACCAGAGATGATATTGTCAGCTACAGAAATACAGGTTTTGCTGATGCACTAACTATTGCTAAAGAAATCTGTGAAGCGATGAGCATAGACACGGTGCTGAAACAGAAGACTAAGAACTAAAAAATGTCACTTTAGCTATGAGTGTGCAGACGAACCTGTCAGCGATGTACTCAAGAGGATGGAGACTACATTTTTCAATGTGGTAGTGGATACTGTGATTTCCTCTCTTAATGAGAGGTTCAAGACCTTGGGCGAGGTGAATGAAAAGTTCAAGGTATTGTTGGGGTTCACGGACATGTCTGACAAAGATATTGTCGGAACTCACACATAAGTTGTAACTTATTCACAACTACTGTGATCATCGTGCGCTGATGTCACAACAAATCTTCTACAAAACAACCCCACCAAAGATAAATTCAATTAACACCCTTCCAGAGCAAAGGGGGTAAACATTGACACATAAATGCCTCGGATACTTCTTAAATGGATACTCACCAAAATAAATAATCGGCAGTAGTATCGGTGACTCACTCAGAAAATTAAGTATCTCTAAAGAGGACAATACAAACTTTCAATTCACAAAGTACTCATAGCAATTCTCAAAATAAAATACTTGATGATACTTGACGAGAATGTCTCAAGAAAATATAACTCTGTAGCTTTCACGGATGATTAACACAAAGCGGATTTTCTGTACTCACAAGAATTCACTGTCTTTTTCAATTATCTTGACACTGTGTTAACACTACACAATTTACTCTGTGCTTTACTCACAATTGGTGGTCCTTACATGTACAGAGGGTGCTTCCAGCAATTCATTTTCAGAGATTGTATGTCTTAGATGTCCATTTCACCACAGAGTCCTCAACCCACTCAATACTATGGCTGAAAATACACAGGAATTAGTTCTCAAATACATATAACCTCTTTACCAACAATGCATATCAGTCTACACTGTAAGAAATGGTAAGGCGCTATGTAATAAAATTCTCCGTTAAATAAAAACAGGTTGAAAAATACAACAATGAAAAATTTAACACCAAACTTGTGTTATCTCAATAAATTCAATGGTAACAAATTGACTCCAACTGAGAACTAGTCATTTGCTCAGCACACATGAAAGTAACATAGAACACACTAAAAAAACATGACAACATAGAAGGAACTGGAGGTCAACATTGCAAGTGGAAGGACGAGTAGATGACGGGAAATGGAAACAAGCACGGCTGAGTGGAACGGGTATGCCAAGTCTCACTAGACTAATGGCTATTATTCAGTCTCTAGCTGAAAGCAATTTGGCTCTAGAGGGTCAAATGAAAACTAACTGTCAATCCAATGGTAATTTTCTCCAAGGCGGAACTTTAAGTAGGGTTGAAAGTAATGCAGGCAATCACAGTCACACTACTCAGTCTCTTTAGAGTAGTTTGCAGGGCTAAATTTATTGCGAATCACTCGGAAGATAAACAAATGAACATTTCTTTGGAGGATTGGTCGAAAATAACTTACGCATAATGGAAGGCCATGAGGAAACATCAAAGGAGTTCAAGCCAGGCTTCTTCAACAGAATTCTCGGCCCCTATTTGTCCCTTGCAGTCTATAATTGAATTCTTAGAGCAGAGCCAAGGAGTTCTAAATGCAACTTGTTACTTTGGATATTTAACGAAAGTATTCACATTGTTTTCAGCCTCTCCTCAGAGGTGGCAAGTTCTTTTAAAACATGTTAATATTACTCTGAAATCGTGGTCAGACGTCAGATGAGAAAGCCGAGTAAAAAGTGTGGAGGCAATTAGATATCAACCTCCGCAACTCAAAGAAGCGCTTTTGGAGCACAGAGAATCTGCAACTGACCCTGTCGTCAAAGTTGAGGCTTAATCGTTGGCAGAGGAAGTAGGGTCATACCGTTTTGTCATTTGTTCAGTTGTGTGGTATGATATACTCAGCAAAATTCAGCACGTGAGCAAACTAATGCAGTCGACTACGATACAGCTCGGCGTGGCTGTAGATCTGCTCAAAAAGACCAGAGATGATATTGTCAGCTACAGAAATACAGGTTTTGCTGATGCACTAACTATTGCTAAAGAAATCTGTGAAGCGATGAGCGTAGACACGGTGCTGAAACAGAAGACTAAGAACTAAAAAATGTCACTTTAGCTATGAGTGTGCAGACGAACCTGTCAGCGATGTACTCAAGAGGATGGAGACTACATTTTTCAATGTGGTAGTGGATACTGTGATTTCCTCTCTTAATGAGAGGTTCAAGACCTTGGGCGAGGTGAATGAAAAGTTCAAGATATTGTTGGGGTTCACGGACATGTCTGACAAAGATATTGTCGGAACTCACACATAAGTTGTAACTTATTCACAACTACTGTGATCATCGTGCGCTGATGTCACAACAAATCTTCTACAAAACAACCCCACCAAAGATAAATTCAATTAACACCCTTCCAGAGCAAAGGGGGTAAACATTGACACATAAATGCCTCGGATACTTCTTAAATGGATACTCACCAAAATAAATAATCGACAGTAGTATCGGTGACTCACTCAGAAAATTAAGTATCTCTAAAGAGGACAATACAAACTTTCAATTCACAAAGTACTCATAGCAATGCTCAAAATAAAATACTTGATGATACTTGACGAGAATGTCTCAAGAAAATATAACTCTGTAGCTTTCACGGATGATTAACACAAAGCGGATTTTCTGTACTCACAAGAATTCACTGTCTTTTTCAATTATCTTGACACTGTGTTAACACTACACAATTTACTCTGTGCTTTACTCACAATTGGTGGTCCTTACATGTACAGAGGGTGCTTCCAGCAATTCATTTTCAGAGATTGTATGTCTTAGATGTCCATTTCACCACAGAGTCCTCAACCCACTCAATACTATGGCTGAAAATACACCGGAATTAGTTCTCAAATACATATAACCTCTTTACCAACAATGCATATCAGTCTACACTGTAAGAAATGGTAAGGCGCTATGTAATAAAATTCTCCGTTTAATAAAAACAGGTTGAAAAATACAACAATGAAAAATTTAACACCAAACTTGTGTTATCTCAATAAATTCCATGGTAACAAATTGACTCCAACTGAGAACTAGTCATTTGCTCAGCACACATGAAAGTAACATAGAACACACTAAAAAAAACATGACAACATAGAAGGAACTGGAGGTCAACATTGCAAGTGGAAGGACGATAGACAGACGGGAAATGGAAATGTTAATGGCTGAGTGGAACGGGTGGTGCCAAGTCCTCACTAGACTAATGGCGATTATTCAGTCTCTAGCTGAAAGCAATTTGGCTCTAGAGGGTCAGCCGAAAAACTTAACTGTCAATCCAATGGTAATTTTCTCCAAGAAGTGGAACTTTAAGTAGGGTTGAAAGTAATGCAGGCAATCACAGTCACACTACCTTGGGGTTCCTTGAGGTAGAGAAGTCTACAGGGCTAAATTTGTCATGAATTCTACTCGGAAGACAAACAAATGAACATTTCTTTTGAGGATTATCGAGGTCAATCCTACGACAATGAAGCAAATATGAGAGGAAACATCAAAGGAGTTCAAGCCAGGCTTCTTCAACAGAATTCTCGGCCCTTATTTGTCCCTTGTGGTGCCCATAATTTGAATTTTATATTAGGTGACGCTGCCAAGAGCTCCCTAAATGCAACTTGTTACTTTGGATATTTAACGAAAGTATTCACATTGTTTTCAGCCTCTCCTCAGAGGTGGCAAGTTCTTTTAAAACATGTTAATATTACTCTGAAATCGTGGTCAGACGTCAGATGGGAAAGCCGAGTAAAAAGTGTGGAGGCAATTAGATATCAACCTCCGCAACTCAAAGAAGCGCTTTTGGAGCACAGAGAATCTGCAACTGACCCTGTCGTCAAAGTTGAGGCTTAATCGTTGGCAGAGGAAGTAGGGTCATACCGTTTTGTCATTTGTTCAGTTGTGTGGTATGATATACTCAGAAAAATTCAGCACGTGAGCAAACTAATGCAGTCGACTACGATACAGCTCGGAGTGGCTGTAGATCTGCTCAAAAAGACCAGAGATGATATTGTCAGCTACAGAAATACAGGTTTTGCTGATGCACTAACTATTAAGTAAAGAAATCTGTGAAGTTTATGACATGATACGTGCCGAAACAGAAGACCAAGAACTAAAAATGTCACTTGAAGCAGAGTAAAGCAGACGAACCTGTCAGCCGGTATGTACTAAGAGGGATGGAGATCACATTTTTCAATGTGGTAGTGGATATTTGTGATTTCTCTAATGAGAGTGTTCAAGACCCAGGCGAGGTGAATGAAAAGTTCAAGGTATTGTTGGGGTTCACGGACATGTCTGACAAAGATATTGTCGGAACTCACACATAAGTTGTAACTTATTCACAACTACTGTGATCATCGTGCGCTGATGTCACAACAAATCTTCTACAAAACAACCCCACCAAAGATAAATTCAATTAACACCCTTCCAGAGCAAAGGGGGTAAACATTGAAACATAAATGCCTCGGATACTTCTTAAATGGATACTCACCAAAATAAATAATCGGCAGTAGTATCGGTGACTCACTCAGAAAATTAAGTATCTCTAAAGAGGACAATACAAACTTTCAATTCACAAAGTACTCATAACAATGCTCAAAATAAAATACTTGATGATACTTGACGAGAATGTCTCAAGAAAATATAACTCTGTAGCTTTCACGGATGATTAACACAAAGCGGATTTTCTGTACTCACAAGAATTCACTGTCTTTTTCAATTATCTTGACACTGTGTTAACACTACACAATTTACTCTGTGCTTTACTCACAATTGGTGGTCCTTACATGTACAGAGGGTGCTTCCAGCAATTCATTTTCAGAGATTGTATGTCTTAGATGTCCATTTCACCACAGAGTCCTCAACCCACTCAATACTATGGCTGAAAATACACCGGAATTAGTTCTCAAATACATATAACCTCTTTACCAACAATGCATATCAGTCTACACTGTAAGAAATGGTAAGGCGCTATGTAATAAAATTCTCCGTTAAATAAAAACAGGTTGAAAAATACAACAATGAAAAATTTAACACCAAACTTGTGTTATCTCAATAAATTCCATGGTAACAAATTGACTCCAACTGAGAACTAGTCATTTGCTCAGCACACATGAAAGTAACATAGAACACACTAAAAAAAACATGACAACATAGAACTGAGGTCACTGTATGTGGAAGGACGAGACAGACGGAAATGGAAAATGTTAATTTGGCTGAGGAATCGGTATGTCCTTCATAGACTAATGGCGATTATTCAGTCTTCTAGCTGAAAGCAATTTGGCTCTAGAGGGTCAAATACAAACTTAACTGTCAATCCAATGGTAATTTTTCTCCAAGTGGAACTTTAAGTAGGGTTGAAAGTAATGCAGGCAATCACAGTCACACTACCTTGGGGTTCCTTGAGGTAGAAGTCTATGCGCTAAATTTGTCATGAATTCTACCGAAGACAAACAAATGAATGATTTTTTTTTGGAGGATTATCGAGGTCAATCTCACGACAATGAACAAAATATGAGAGGAAACATCGCCGAGTTCAAGCCAGTTTTCAACAGAATTCTCGGCCCTTATTTGTCCCTTGTGGTGCCCATAATTTGAATTTTATATTAGGTGACGCTGCCAAGAGCTCCCTAAATGCAACTTGTTACTTTGGATATTTAACGAAAGTATTCACATTGTATTCAGCCTCTCCTCAGAGGTGGCAAGTTCTTTTAAAACATGTTAATATTACTCTGAAATCGTGGTCAGACGTCAGATGGGAAAGCCGAGTAAAAAGTGTGGAGGCAATTAGATATCAACCTCCGCAACTCAAAGAAGCGCTTTTGGAGCACAGAGAATCTGCAACTGACCCTGTCGTCAAAGTTGAGGCTTAATCGTTGGCAGAGGAAGTAGGGTCATACCGTTTTGTCATTTGTTCAGTTGTGTGGTATGATATACTCAGCAAAATTCAGCACGTGAGCAAACTAATGCAGTCGACTACGATACAGCTCGGCGTGGCTGTAGATCTGCTCAAAAAGACCAGAGATGATATTGTCAGCTACAGAAATACAGGTTTTGCTGATGCACTAACTATTGCTAAAGAAATCTGTGAAGCGATGAGCGTAGACACGGTGCTGAAACAGAAGACTAAGAACTAAAAAATGTCACTTTAGCTATGAGTGTGCAGACGAACCTGTCAGCGATGTACTCAAGAGGATGGAGACTACATTTTTCAATGTGGTAGTGGATATCAGATTTCCCACGAGAGGCTCAAGACCTAAGAGGTGAATGAAAGTCTGAAGATATTGTTGGGGTTCACGGATGTCTGACACAAAGATATTGTCGAACTCACATGTTGTAACTTATCAGATCGTTGATGTCACAACAAATCTTCTACAAAACAACCCCACCAAAGATAAATTCAATTAACACCCTTCCAGAGCAAAGGGGGTAAACATTGACACATAAATGCCTCGGATACTTCTTAAATGGATACTCACCAAAATAAATAATCGGCAGTAGTATCGGTGACTCACTCAGAAAATTAAGTATCTCTAAAGAGGACAATACAAACTTTCAATTCACAAAGTACTCATAGCAATGCTCAAAATAAAATACTTGATGATACTTGACGAGAATGTCTCAAGAAAATATAACTCTGTAGCTTTCACGGATGATTAACACAAAGCGGATTTTCTGTACTCACAAGAATTCACTGTCTTTTTCAATTATCTTGACACTGTGTTAACACTACACAATTTACTCTGTGCTTTACTCACAATTGGTGGTCCTTACATGTACAGAGGGTGCTTCCAGCAATTCATTTTCAGAGATTGTATGTCTTAGATGTCCATTTCACCA